GCCACTGGCAGGCCTGAGCACCACGATACCTAGGAACGTACCTGAAGTGCCCTCAACCCTGAAAGTCCCCATGGCTGTCCCCTAGCCCTGCCACCTAAGCTCCAAGGCTGCCGTCCCTGTGATGGTTCCAGAAGCGTTGCCGTCCCTGCAAGGGACCCCTGCTGTTGCCCACCCTGAGAGAGGCCCATGGAAGCTCGGGAATTTCCCAGAGCTCTGTGTCGTTCTTCCAGAAAGTACAGTCCTGATTAGCACCAAGAGTTCTGTGATGTCCAGCGAGGGGTCCTTCTGAACGCCTGATGCCTGGGATGCCAAGTGACTACAGGATAACGGCGATCCTGTAACCCCTACAGAACATCTGGGGGTGCCTTGAAGGTGTCTCAGGATCGCGGTTCCAAATATAGCGCAGCGGTGGCGCATTGTGCTGACTGACTGCTCTCTTCTCCTATTGGCTGTAATTTTGTGGGTTAAAAGAATAGTCCACCAATCATAGTTCAGTAGGGGACTGCTGGAAGTATGTAATATATATGAAATAACAAACAAGCATGCCATACGGTCCCTTGGGATCCTTGGTAGGGTCCGTGGGGGCTTCGCCTCAAGGAGGGTCCCTGGGGGTGCCCCCGTCCATGGGAGGGTCCTTGGGGGCGCTGCAGGGGCAGTGCGAGGGTCCCTGAGGGAGCCGTTGTCGCTGGGAGTATCCGTATGGGCGCCACTGCTTAAGGGAGGGTCCCTGGCGGCACCATCGCCGCTGAGAGGGCCCCTAAGAACGCCTCCACCCCTGAGATGTTTCCTTGGGGCGCCGTTACCCCTGTGAGGGTCCCTGGGACACCGCCGTCCATAAGATAGCCTCTGGGAGAACCAGACTTGTATGTCCCCTGAGTGCAGTAGTTTTTGCGCTATTTAGAACTCCGGGAGATGCAACTTTAAATAAATACACAGCCCATAACATTTCCAATATTATCGCATTCTGAAGAAGGTAGCAGAGAAAAACATCCAACAGGAAAACATAAGTTGAGGTGTTGTGTTGACTGACTGCTCTATTTTCCTATTGGCTGTAATTTTGTGGGTTAAAACAATAGTCCACCAATCATAGTTCAGTAAGGGACTGCTGGAAGTATGTAATATATATGAAACAATAAACAAGCATGCCATAGGGTCCCTGGGGGGCCTCGCCCCAAGGAGAGTCCGTGGGGGCGCTGCCGTCCATGGGAGGGTCCTTGGGGAAGCCGTCGCTCCTGGGAGGGACACTGCGAACTTCCCCGGGGGCGCCGCTCTCTCTGGGAGTGTCCATTGTGGCACCACCGCCTCTGGAAGGGTCCCTACGGGCGCTGCCGACTCTGAGTGGTCCCCTAATAACGTCACCACCCCTGGGATGTTTTTTGGGGGCGCTGCTGCGCCTGTGATGGACACTGGAGCGCTGCCGTCATTGAGAGAGCCTCTGGGAGCACCAAACCTGTAAGCCACTATATGCAGTAGTTTTTGCGCTATTTAGATTTCTGAGAGATGCAACGTTAAATCAATACTCCGTCCATCACATTTCCAGTATCATCGCATTCTGAAGAAGGTAACGCAGAAGTATATCCAACAGGAAAACATAAGTTGAGGTGTTGTGCTGACTGACTGCTCTCTTCTCGTATTGACTGTAATTTTGTGGGTTAAAAGAATAGTCCACCAATCATGGTTCAGTAAGGGACTGCTGGAATTATGTAATATATACGAAACAACGAACAAGTATGCCATAGAGTCCCTTGGGATCCTTGGTAGGGTCTGCGGGGGGGCTTCGTCACAAGGAGGGTCCCTGGGGGTGCCGCCGTTTGTAGGAGGGTCCTTGGGGGTGCTGCAGGGGCACTGCGAGGGTCCCTGGGGGAGCCGTTGTCGCTGGGAGTGTCCATATGGGCGCCACTGCTTATGGAAGGTTCCCTGGCTGCACCGCCGCTCCTGAGAGCGCTCCTAAGAACGTCACCACCTCTGGGATGTTTCTTGGGGGAGCCATTACCCCTGTGAGGGTACCTGGGGCGCCGCCCCTCCATAAGAGATCCTCTGGGAGAACCAGACCTGTAGGTCCCCTGAGTGCAGTAGTTTTTGCGCTATTTAGAACTCTGGGAGATGCAACTTTAAATAAATACACGGCCCATAACATTTCCAGTATCATCGCATTCTGAAGAAGGTAGCAGAGAATAATATCCAACAGGAAAACATAAGTTCCTGGGGGCGCTGCTGTACCTGAAAGTGTCCATGGTGGCGCCACCGCGTCTGGGAGAGTCCCTGGGAGCGCTGCCGTCCCTGAGTGGGCCCCTAGGAACGCCATCATTCCTGGGATAGTTTTTGGGGGCGCCACTGTCCCTGGGAGTGTCTATGGGGGAGCCGACGCCCCCTGGGAAAGACTCTGGGGATCCTGCCACCCTTAGGAGTGTCCCTGGGTAATCCCTGGTGATGTTGCCGACCCTGGGAGGGAGCCATGGGGGCTCCACCCTCCCTGAGAAGGTCCCTTGATGCGCCGTAGTTCCTGGAAGGGCCGCTGGGTTCGCCGCCGCTCCTGGGAGGCTATCTTGGCGCGAGTTCCCTGAGAGGGTCCCTGGGGCCACCACCTTCCCTGAGAGGGTCCTTGGGAGCGTCGCCATCACTGGGAGGTTAATGGGGGCGTAGCCGCTCCTGGGAGGGTACCTGGAGAACCCGGCGTCTCTGAAAGGGTCCCTGGGGACGTCACCATTCCTGCAAGGACCTCTAGGGGCGCTGCCGCCGCTGAGAAAGTCTCTGGGGGGCACCGCTACCTTTGGGAGGGTCCCTGGGGGCGCCACAGCCCCTGTAAGGGTCCCTGAGGCACCACCGTCCCTGAGAGGGCTTCTGGGTGCAATAGTTTTTGTGCAATTTAGAACTCTGGGAGATGCTGAGTTAAATAAATACATCGCCCATCACATTTCCAGTATCATCGCATTCTGTAGAAGGTAGCAGAGAATAATATCCAACAGGAAAACTTAAGTTGTGGTGTTGTGTTGACTGACTGCTCTCTTCTCCTATTGGCTGTAATTTGGCGGGTTAAAAGAATAGTCCACCAGTCATAGTTCAGTAAGGGACTACTGGAAGCATGTAATATATATGAAGCAACGAACAAGCATGCCATAGGACCCATGGGGACCCTTGGTAGGGTCCCTGGGAGGCGCCGCGACACTGTCCCTGGGGGCGAGGCTGCCTCTGGAAGAAGCCCTGGGGGTACCACTGTTTCTGAGAGAGTTCCTGGGGTCGCCACCGCCCTTGGTAGGGTCCCTGGGGGCGCCGTCCCTGGGAGGGACCTCGGGGGCGACGCCACCCCTGGGAAGGTCCCTGGAGGCCACCAGGTGACATTTTGTTAGCACTGTGGGTATGTACTAGGGGTATTTAACTTACGTCTTAAAGTTTCTGCCACCAGACCCAAGGGCAGTTTGTGTAGTGTTCTTTAGGTAGCTGGCAGAGCAATCCAGGCACTGTGAGTTAGTGTTTTTCATTAATTTAATTGAGAATGGAAGGAAGAGTGAAACACTAACCAAGAATTTACCTACTTTATTTCTTAATTTAAAAACAAAAATATTGCATTCAGTCACAAAACAAAAATAGTTGACCTTCCCAAAATAATTATTACGGTCATTGCACTAACCTAACTAGATGTAACCCTACGACATCTAATATAACGTAACCAAACCAGATTTAAGCTCACCTAGCCTACCCTAGCCTAACCTAACCTAACCAGGTAGCACATCATCATGTTAAATAACCCGGGGTGCCTAACCTTCAGCGTATAGAACAATTCTCTTCCTTGTTAGTCGTCAACTTCTCTGTTTAACAACAACCATCACTGCCAACATAGCAACATTTCTAAAGCAGATTATCAACGAAATATATGTTTGGGATTTCCAGGTAACGTCTATTAATTAATCAGGAATATTATCCTCTTTGAGCTGTGCAATTCCGGGAAGAGACAGAGGAGAGAAATGGTGGGAGTCAGAGGCTTTCGTCCATAAGGAATGTTTGGTGGAGAATATGACGAATAGTGTGTGTGTGTGTGTGTATCTGTGTGTGTGTGTGTGTGTGTATCTGTGTGTGTGTGTGTGTGGGTTGAAGACATCACTACATATTGCTTAATTACATAATTTCACCTACTGTACACTTTATTATTAATCTGAAATATAATCACAATACAGTATTTATTATTCCGAAAAACTGTAATGGAAACATAAGAAATTACAGACTTTTAATATACTGATACAGAAGTTTTATGTATAGTCTTGTTCAAGATTCTTCGAACACTGCTAGAGACACCTGGCAACTCAAGGCCGTTTGTTTACTATAGTACGTAGTAAAAATTGTGAATAAATGTAAAAGTTATCGGTGATTGGTTACTTAGTTCCCCGGTGCTTAATGTACTGGCTAGGCTTTGTTGTTTCGTATTTTATTATTCTACGTACTATAGTAACGGCCTTGAGTTGCCAGCTGTCTCCAGCAGTGTTCGAAGAATCTTGAACAAGACTGTACATTACATTTGCCATATACAGACTTGATAAATATTGATTATAAGTTATAGTATAGTGAAAATACTGTAGTATGGTTACTATAGTATATCACCATAAAATATGATTGTGGGTTATATAATTGAAATGAAATATAATCGATATTGAAATCTGTTGTCCAGCGAACATCACCAAAATTGTTAGATGTGTTGCTGCGGGACGTGACGTCACATTGATTCTCATTTGGCATTTGCATATATTAAGATTTCTTCCAATTAGAGGCTTTTAGTGAATGATCGCTGGCATTATTGTATTACTTGTATAATTAATATTAGTACTGTGAAATAGTCAAACTATTTAAAAAATTGTACACTGATAAAAACATTAAACTAGCTGAAACAGTTAAGACGAGTTCTAGCTAGTTACTGCGTCTTTTTTCTGAAGAAAGCACTGCCACGAATAAGGCACCTGTAAATGGTGCTGGTGGAACGCCTCTAAAATGTTGAATTGAAACAGTTTCCTTTCTCTATTTTTCCTCATAAGTAGCGGCTCTACACTAACGGCTACTAAAAAAACTAGCTCTACACCCAACACTGCCAACGAAATGTAGTGGTGGCCTCGGAAGGTGGTAAATAATTAGGGTACCACATTATACTGTACAAATCCAGGTCACCAGCACCCGGGTGAAACTCATTAACAACGACCCTCAACTTGCGTGGCTGCTGCTCCATTTTGGACTGTCGTCTGGCCTGAAAGTGTAAAATATGACAAATGACCAACAGTTCGACGTCTCTTACTGTTAAGTGGCAATGTAAGTAAACACAATTATGTTCTATCACAATATTCAACTAAAAGTCCAAAGCCCAGCAAGATAGTGTTTTCCGTCGTCACTTACCACACACACACACACACACACACAGTAGTGGTAACTCACCTGGGGAACAAGAGAATGAGGGACAGTGGTAATTAACTCACCTGAGGGCAGAAAACGTAAGCACTGAGGGGAAACGGTATCATCAAAAACCTCTCTTCTCCCAGCAACAACACAATTTTGAAGCATTTCTTATTCTGTAAGATAGATTGACTTGGATATATAAACAGATAGATAGATTTGGATGGATGGATTCACAGAAACACTAGATCGATGTTTGAGCATCTCACGGGATGTATGAACAAATGATTGATAATTGCCTGTTCACAATAACTTGGATATATTTTGTAATTGATCTCAAGAAGAAAATGTTATTCTTGATAATGGTTTGTGTATATTCTAACGTATATTGTAGTAAATATAAGTAATACACATACCTTTATAACAGAGAGGGAGAACTTTTCCCCGACAGTAAGATTAGGCCACTTGTTCCCTCTCACGACGGTTGGGACGCTCCCCCAGTTTCTGCTGTGTTTATCGTTGATGACAACTTCTCTGTGGGAGGAAGAAGTGAGCCTGTAACAGTAATGTACGCCCACCTACGCCTATTGGTAAAGTCATATGAACAAGAGACAACAGAAGATAGCAGAAGGTTGATCAATATAACGACATTTTGACCTACCCACTGTTGCCCAACTCAGGATGCCATTGGAGGTGAACACTCAGCAGGATATCATCTTCTTTCCAATTGAAATCGTGTCCTTCCTCTGGCTCATACATCAGCCGCAGACTCACACTGTACACGAGGTTTGGTAACCACAAGAATTATTAGCATCACACAACAATCGAAAATTCAAGTCTGATACCACCATGACCTGACAACCTGAACAAAACAAAAAGATTAATCATTCTCTCAAGCAGTAAACTATAAGACACCTTTCTTTTTCTAGCCTTTTTTTATAATCGTCCATTGGACTAGTCGTTACTAGGGGCAGTACAGCGGCAGTACGTGTAGCACCTGAAGAGAAACATACTCAAACTAACTTCACCTGGTGTATCCGAGGCATTATTATAAAGTGTGTGTGTGTGTTCGCGGTGTGTGTGTGTTGGGTTGTGTGTTGTGTGATGTGTGTGTGTGTGTGTGTGTGTGTGTGTGTGTGTGTGTGTGCGTGTGCGTGTGTGTGTGTGTACCATCTAAACAGTTTTAAGGTAAGAGTGGAAGGAATTAAAAATGTGAGAAAAACGGAAGTTCTTTTATCACTTACTCGGCTTTCTCGTTTAGCTTCATTATGCTACTAAGTGAGAAGTTCTCCTGGTCAGTAAAGCCAACAGATAAATCCTGAAGTGGATGAAGCGCTGGAAGATCACCGGGGGCATGAAAGAATACGGCCTTCCCTTGGCATATTGTTTGATGAATTGCCTTCGTTTGGGATGTCATCAAAGTGTTCCATATGACTGGCATGGCTACACTGTTGAAAAATGGTGTGTTAGGTGATGCTGGGGACGGTAAGTGTTCGTCCATTGGCTGCCCTTAAATTTGTATAATTTTTTTTTTTTGTGTGTGTGTGTTATGGTGCGTTTTACTTCAATCTGACCTTCATTTCTTGCGCAAATTAGCGTATTTTTTAATTAAAATTTTCATTTGTAACAGAAACGGCGGTCAGGTTGAAGTAAAACACCATAAAACACCCCCCCCCCCCCAAAAAAAAACCCTGACCTAACCTCACTGAACCTAACCCAATAGGGTATGGCACAAGTCCTTGCTTTCTAAACTTCCCTCTTATGGTTTCTCTCCCCCACTTTGTTCTCTAGTTCCTAGCTTCCTTGAGAACCGATCCATGGCAGCTGTGTCGGGGGATCAATCTATCGCTCTTTCTCTACCAATAGTGGTGTCCCACAGGGTTCTGTTCTTTCACCTACTATCTTCCTTCTTTTTATCAATGATTTTCTTCACACTACGACTAATTCTATCCATTCTTATACTGATGATTCTATTCTTCACTCTTCTTCACATTTTCCCCTTCCTCCTAACTCTGAAACTAGATCTGTTTCTAGAGCTGATATCATTACTTCTATCAATGCGGATCTATGCAGCATCTCCAAATGAGGAGGTAGAAACTTGGTTAAATTCAATAGTAATAAAACTCAGTATTTACCAATAACACTTTCCAAATTAGATGATCTCCCACCAATCACATTTCAGGATGCAATCATTCTGTCAAATTCTAAAATAGATATGCTAGGCCTCACCATTTCCTCTAATATGTCATGGAAGCCACACATCCTCAAAATTGCTAAAGCTGCCTCCCGAAAGCTGGGAATACTGCACAGATGCCGTAGCTACTTCACTCCTGAGCAGTTGCTTCAAGTTTATAAGGGATTCATTCGTCCTAACTTGGAGTACTGCTCTCATATCTGGGGTGGCTCTTCTTCTGTCCAACTGTTAGATAGGGTGGAATCAAAGGCATTTCGTCTTATTAAATCTCCTCCTTTAGTTGATAATCTTTCTTCCCTTTCTCTTCGCCGCAATGTTGCTTCACTCTCTCATTTACAGGTACTTTAACGGGCTATGTTCGGTGGATTTGTGTACCGCCGGCAAGGCCGTGGGCTCGTAACACTCATCTTGCCTGCGGTGCCCACCGTTTCTCTGTGTGGATGTCGGTCACACTAGAATAACCCGTTATAGTATAGTATATGTATACACGTAGGACACAGTAATCATGTAATATTTGGATTGCTTCACTACTGTTCTGATAAACTCGCTGAATAACAGCTAGATAAGGGAGAGAGCACTTTTCGCACGCCATCACGAGCCTTCAAAATGGTTACTTGAGCCTTCAAAATGACTGCTTCAAAATGATTGGCCAGCCAAGTCACATGGCACGATACTTGAAGAGCGTTGGTTGACATGTCGCGATGAGGAGGAGGAGGAGAGGACGAGAAAAGTGAGGAGAGGAGAGAAATTACTCTGGCAACATGGCGGGTACAGAAATTTACCCCTAGAAATTTGTGAAATACTCCGTTAATATTGATTTTCAATCGAAATGATATGGAAGTTATATAATTGTTTTTTTATAGTCTTTGTGGATGTAATATTGAAAATTGGAAACCTGCGGACAGACAATGGATGAATATTAACCCTGAGATATAATCCTTAATACCACGAATACTTCATGGTCTAGTCTCACCTATCACTGTAAGAGGAGAGACAACAGGTACCTGCTGATGGTGAGCAGTTCAGTGATAAGAGCGGTGTTTTCGGCAGCGTCCTGCGTCAGACTGCTGTAGCGGTCTTGTTCCTCTGTCATGTTCTTGAAGATGTTGTCTACGGTCTCGATCATACGCCCAATATCTCGACTCCCATCACTCTGGATTTAGATTTGACATAAAACAGAAATATTAACCCAACAAGAAACGAAATGAAACTGTTTTTCACTCGAGACTCTTATATTACACTAACTTTTTTAATTGATGAATACCAAGGGATGTCAAACTATGTATAAGACACAAGATCCACTACAAGTGTATGTGGTGATAATACCGTGATCAAATGCCTACTCTGCGGCAGGTCATTGAGAGGAAAATTAGTCTTAAGCCCCTTTAACTGACAGTTATGCCTGAACGACGAAACTGAGAGAATAAAGGGTTGTTTTTTACACGTGCCTGTGTAAAAAACATTGACAGATGGATTTCTAGCAGTGACAGAAATTTGTAGGCGTAGCATAATGGTTGGAAGACAGGCCTGAACGTCTAAATGTACATCAGGTCATTTAGTCAGTGTGAGTAAAGTTCTCGTGGTGTGAAGACCCATATCATAGAGCTTAAAAGTTATCGTATTGTTATGCCGAGGCAAAATTTCGTATTATAATCGTGTAAACGAGGTCTTTTGATTGTTTTCTACCCCATGAAGCAGTTATTTTTGGTAAATTTAATGAAATTTTCGTGTATATATTGATGATATTGATGTATTAATTACGAAGGAATATTCTAGAATACATTGAATATTTTTTTTTTACGATTTACTTCTTATTGTAAGCCTAGATTATTCTAGAATTCTTCATGCGGGTATCGAGCCGACCTTCCGCGTTTGGACATCCCTAGAATGTTCTAGGCGTCTGACGAACTATATATAAGGGGCTGCGGGCTGCCTAGGAGTTAGATATACAAACCAGAGAGTACCTCAAATCAAGAACAGGGTATCCCCGACATACATCTCGAGCCAGCAAGCGAGGAGGTAACGATGGCAGACGAAGAAGACGAAGACGAAACCACCACAGAAACAGAACACCCCGCCATATTCAGCACCCCTCAAAAAATAATAAAACAGGAACTGTGGTACCACCACGTTCACCCAGAAAGACCACGGAGAGCCAATACCTTGGAGACGAAATTGGTCTTCGATTTTTCTCCACTATAGCTCCTTCCCATGGTCTCAACAGAAAGACTCCTGGCAGGAATAAGGCAAGGCAAGATAAAATACACATACAAAGACAAAAACCAAGAAGACACACTCATTGAAACACTAATTAAGAAAGGAAAAATTCTCACAAGACACAACAATGTAGAGTTGATGAATCATCGTACAAAAAATCCGCCTGGGCCTGTTGACCGGTCAACAAAAATGGCGCAAACCAGCTCTAGACACCAGCCTTCATAATAGACAAATTAAAATAATCCAACACAATGTTTTAGCATGGATCCCACAGAGAGCAAGCGAACTATATAACACATACTGTAACATAGACCCAGAAAATATCCTCATAAATTCGCACGGCAAGAACAACTGAGAAAAAATCAAAATATTTAAGAACTGCACAGTCTACCAAAAAAACAGTCAAGACCCACTACATGATGGCATTGCCATAGCCATCAAACGGAACATACAACACAAGATACACGACTCATTTCAAGAAAAGCTTCTAGCCATTGAAATAAACTTCCCAACAGTACCCATTATAATCGGCACCTGATACCTCCCTCCGAGAAGAGCCGTATTCCCACTAGCAGACATGCTCAAACTGATGAGAAGAAATGTGTCAGCATATTTCCTGGGTGACCTAAATGCACGACACCGCGTCTTGGGGCACCGGGACAACAACGCCATAGGACAGATCCTAAACACATTATTGAATCACGGCAACGCAATACTTCTTGGGCCGGAATTTCCCACATACATCAGACCAGGTCAAATCGGACATCCAGAGAGAGAGTTCGAATTAGCTAAGTTGCAGATAGAAAAGGACTTAGAACTAGCTAGGATTAATGCTTCAAGTAGACCAGAATCCTTTGGCCATATACAAGACAATGTGGTAAAACCCAGCTTGCCTGTGTACCGTGAAGGAGAAGACATCGCCTCCTACCTTGTTAGGTGTGAACGGGTAGCTGAGCTGCTTGGTGTGGACCCAGATAGCTATGCTGTAAGGTTGAGTAGCCTACTGAGTGGTAAGCCGGTAGAGATTTACACGTCCTTGTCTGCCGACAGCCCCAGAAATTACTTCAAGTTGAAGCAAGCTCTCTTGCGAGGATTTAACAAGACTTCTGAAGATTATCGTGTTGATTTCTGCAGAACGAAGATTAGAGCAGGAGAAACGTACCAGCAGTTTTCGATTCACCTGGGTCGTTTGTTTCAACAATGGCTGGAGACATCAGGGGTTGAAGAAACCTTTGAATCTCTCTCTAACTTCATGATATCAGATCAGTTTTTGTTTTCTCTACCTCCAGACTTGAGAATTTTCGTCAAAGAACACCAGCCAGTGACGCTTGGAGAAGCTGTTCGTCTTGCCGACAACTGGGCGTCTGCTCGCAACGCCTACCCCCAAGTCTTACCCTCCTGTAGTGCAGATTGCGAAGCCTCCGTCCTCCGAGGAACCATCCCCAGGAGTACACAGGAATAGGAATAGTTTACCAACCGTGCGGTGTCGCAGCTGCGGAGAAGAAGGGCACATTAGTTCTCGCTGTCCCAGGAATCCCCTCGCCTTCAAGACTGCTGACACTCATCAACCCAGCAACAAGGTCGGATTCTGTTTGGAAGACAGGAGCTGCCCCCGTTATTGTGTCAGTGGAACAATAAATGGGTCTAGGGCATCTACTTTCATCAGGGACACTGGTTGCTCGTGCATTATTGTCTCTGAGGAAGCCCTGTCTGACGCTGACATCTCCAGCTGCCCGAAGGTTAGTGTCGCCGATTATTTAGGTCGTGTTGACCAGTTCCCTGTTGTTAGGTGCTACCTGCGTTGCCCCTATTTCACAGGATGGTCTAATGTGGTAAGAGATCCCATTTTATTTGCTAGTGTCCTCATTGGTAATGTGCCCGGTGTTCGTGACCCTAACGACCCGGAAACGTTAAAACTCTCCTCGCCACCAGCACCAGTCCCCACGCCACCTGCTGACGACGACGACTAGCCACATGCCGCCACGCCTGCAGCCAAGGTCCAAGCTGTAGGGACACGGACGGCGAAGGTGAAACGACCGCATCCCCTGATTCTGCCGAATTTGTTGCCTCTGGATGTGACGCCCAAGGAGTTGCCAAGCTTCAAGACTCGTGTGCCACTTTGAAGCGGGTAAGGGAGAAGGTGACTTCCGGGGAGGAGGATCAGGTGAGAGATGGGTCGTTTCTCAAGTTTGTTTCTATTAATGGGGTGTTACACAGGTCTTGTGTATCATCCAAGCGACCAGCTAAAGTAGGTCGGTTTTTACTTGTTGTCCCTGCTGTTTGTCGTAGTAACATTCTCTCTGTAGCTCACAAGAGCCCTCTAGCAAGTCACTGTTCTCGTAGGAAAACTTATAGGAAGGTTGCTGATCAGTTTTACTGGCCAGGTATGGGGGCGGATACTAGAGCTTTTTGTAGGAATTGTGATCAGTGCCCACGTATGTCCGCCAAGGGTAGAGTTCGTTCTGTTCCACTTGAACCCTTACCCGCCATTGCAGAACCATCTTCTCGGGTAGCCATAGATTTTGTTGGACCGTTCTCACCCCCTTCCTCTAAGACGCCTAAATTACACCAAGCTAATTTGTTAAGGCAATATAATTGCAGGACCCACATTGCCCGTGCCCTTAACGACGTTCCCAAGCTAGAGTTAGTCGAGGCACTACCCTGCAAGAGTTCCTGTAAAGTTCAGGCGCCAGACTCTGCTAATCTCGGTTGCCAGTTGCTGCTAACACCTGATGAGATGGAAGAATCCTCTACGACTGGATATAGACCCAAACTTGAACCTGGACTGAAGTGGACCCCACGTGCAGTTCCTTGATACGGCCTTACGTTTTGGACATCAAGTTTCCACCTATTCTTTTATGTGACCCTTCTTTATTTTGATATGTGAATTTAAGTATTTGTTGTAAGATGATTATGCTTTGTGTACTAATCTTAAGTTTTAATCTACCTTACAGTAGATTTTTGTTGGGGAGCTGTGTAAGGGCGGAAACGATCTTCCTGCTCGTTACCGCTGCTAACACTCTCGTTTGCTGGTGCAACCAACACTTGGGGGTGTTGGACAGAGGTGAGAACGGCAGCGGCTACCTGTGTCACCGGCAGATTCACCCCAGCCTCCATACAGTCACTATCTAGCTACCCCGCTGTTCATCAAATTCTGGCTGTGATCTCATCATAGGTCCTGGACTCGTGGGCTGTTTTCCCAGACCTTCACCTATCGACTGTCAATTCTCTGGACATCAACCACTACCGCTGCTCCTCTCCACCGTCTGTGCCCTGGTGTTTCGTCTGCTCCATCAAGACATCGCCGCTGTTCCTCGAGTGGTGTTGAGCGGACGCTTCCCCCTGAGAGTGGATCACTGTGTTCTGGAACCACCCCCAGGGCCACTGTCGTAGGAAATATCTGTTCATTGTTTGATTATATTGTTTGATTCCTTTAATTGCGGACTCCCATAAATTGTTTGCTTCCCTTTAATTGTTTGCCTCCTTTAATTGTTTGCTTCCCTTAATTATTGGACTCCATTAAATGTTTACTGCATAATTGTTTGACTCCCGTAATTGTTACTTGATGTTCGTTGAGTGGTGTCAGAGTTTTGTGTTATATTTTTTATAGTAAAGAGATATCACTCTCAATCGGTTGTTTGTTATTCCCCAGAAAACCATGGTCCTTGACTTTCCTTTATTAAGAACCTGATTAGTCTGGTAAGGGATTTCTATCCCTAAGTCCCAGGCCTTTACAAAGGCCAAACAGATGATGGCACGAAAAATCAGCCCAGCCATTGACCAAATCAGCGAATATGAAAAAAAGTGGAAAATACAAACCAATACACAAAAACTAAAGATCATACACATTTCCAAAATAAACCCAGCACGAATCACAGTCAACAACGAACCTATACAATACTCCAAAGAAGACAAAATTCTGGGACACAAGAACAGACATAGCAAAACACTTGCCCATTCACAACACGAACAACTATGAAGATTTAGCAAAATAGACGCCAACATTAACTACACCTATTCAAAGCACTTGTCCGCCTCCACCTGGAGTACCCACCAATACCACGCTGTACGATCAGCAAAACCAGCCAACTTAAACTTCAATCAGTACAAAACAAACCTATCTGTAGAGCATCAAAGCAACTCCCCCGATACACCACCAAAATACAAGAACTTCACGAACTATGCAACATCGAACCACTGAACACACGTACATACAACCAAGCTCAGAGAATCTGGAGCAAACTTGAAGAGTTGTAGGACCCAATATTTTCCCAGTTAAAAGAAGAAACCACAAGAACACACAGCTGGTGGCCCAAGAGCCTCCATGCTAACATAGAAGAACAAGACCCACTTTATACACAAATGTGAATAAATAACACCACCATTTAACAAGCATAATTTAACACCCATAACACTAATGAATGCCTAGCTAGCTCTAGCTTAGCTCCCTCCCCCCACCTTTGCCTCCCTTGAGTGGGCGGACGTCTGCTGCGTGTGGCCACCACCCCAACCAATCACCTCGACTCAGCTAGGTGGACAGCCCACTTGGTATCACTCCTTACCACTTTGCTTCCCGTTTCTTTGCTTTCCTTCTCTCTCTCTCTCTCTCCTCTCATCTCCCATGGCAAAGTCATTTGCCACTATACATCATCATCACAATAAAGTTCATAAACAGAGCGGTATCATGTATCACACTCGCCAGTCACCCACTCTCACAGCAATGAAAGAAATCTATCATGATCTTGTTTACCAACACCTGATACACTGCCACACACTATGGGGGGCCTCTGGCTCTTCAAAAACACAATCCCTGGTTACTGCACAAAAGAGAGTTGTACAGACAATGAATGACCTACTTGAAAAAAAAGAGATCACACAAACGAAAAATTTGCTAAATTGAAAATGTGAAAATTCTAAGATATTAACACCTAGTGCTGTGCCCTCTTTGTTTACAAATCTATCAATCATTTGCTTGACAATAATTATTTCCAGTTCCGGAATAATGAGAGATACAATTCAATTCAAATCATATAGAAGTTAGTTGTTCGCCTCTGTTCCATGTGTAAAGACTAAGGCTAGCAGAACAACTGAAGACAATTTTGAGCAAATATTGTGGAATTGTTGTGATTAATATAAAGTGAGAAGACTAATGAATTGTAAACTGGTAGTGTGCCGTCTATATACAGTATGTATATATGAAGTGTGGAGTGACCAAGTCCCAGGCTGCTGATCTGATTTTCAGCTTCATTTACACACAATTGCAGTGTCTCAATTGTTTATTTTACTATTGACAGCAATATATATATATATATATATATATATATATATATATATATATATATATATATATATATATATATATATATATATATATATATATATATATACGACCCTAGCCGGTGGAAGCTAGGGGAGTCCGGACAAAACCCCCTTGGGTTAGGTTAAGTTAGGTTTGTCCTAGGGGGGGGTTTGTCCTGCACTCGGAAGCTGGGTAAGCTGTGAAGAGGACGGTCGTAACATTATTTTTTAAAATGGACTTGAACGTGACAGAAAAGGAAATTTTGACTAATTTATTGAACTATATAAGTCATTTCCAGCACTTTGCAAAGTGTAATCTACTGAATGTTCAAACAAACTTCTAAAAAATAAATGTTATGATGAACTTCTAGAAAAATTACATCCCAACGCTACAAGGAAATCAGGGCTCAAAAAAAATCTTAGATCTTCTTTTAGAAAAGAACTGAAAAAAGTAAATTTATTAAAGAAATCAGGATCTGCTACTGAGGATGTGTATCAACCTAAACTTTGGTATTTTGAGAGTTTTATGTTCTTATGTGATCAGGAAACCCAAGAGAAGTTGTTTCAAATATATCAAACTTGTTTAGATGAGGTAAGCTATTTATAATTGTGATTGTTATATAAAAACTTATTTTTTGATTATTAATAATTATAATATATTTAAACCAGTCCTCAAGCTCTAATCTTAGTTCATTTAATAGATTTGTATATGATACTTCACCCCTTTTAGAGAGCCATTCTTTCACCCATTGCTCTTTTTTCCTTTGTCTCGAACGACAATCACAATCGCTGAAGCAATTATCGTTTCGTCGTCCAGGGGAGACATGTTAACACAGAATCTGGGTTGAACTGACAAAACTTACAGTCTTAACTGAATCGTGTAAATGCGTCGGGAGGCAGGTCAGGTCAGTCTGTTATTTAGGTCAGTTAAAACTGTGCGTGTGAAGCCCCTTAATCCAATCAAATCTAATTTAACCTAACCCAACCTAACTTAACCCAAATTGACCTAACTCAACCTAACCTAATTTTTCAGATTCTCTTTTTTAAGACTGTAAGGGTGTATTTTGGTGGTAGATTTATGGAACAGTCTACCAGCTCAAGTGATAGTGATAGACCTATGGAAAAGTCTACCAGTTCAAGTGATAGTGGTAGACCTATGGAGCAGTCTACCAGCTTCAAAAGAGCCCTGGACAAGACTATCAAGAAAAATAGAGGTGTGTCACTCAGGCCACCAACCTCCTCCCCGTCATGATCACCTCTAAGTGGGGTGGACATTGGGTACAGTCGGAATACAAGAGGTGGTACAAGATTACAGTTTTTTTATTCATCCTATCATTCAATTTCCTGATGAATTGCAAGGTAAAACTTATTTATCGCACGTTTTATAAATGCATCTCTAGATCACCTGAAGATTAGGCACCCAAGTCTAGGTACACATACATTCTGGAGCCAGTATACGCCCAGTATTTACCAACAGTGTGTAACAATTATGACCGACCGCCCAAGTGGTAACGAGCCGATCAGTGGCGAAGACAAAATACAAGTGTAGAGTAAAGAGTTTGCTCTAGTGGCAAAAATGGAGTCTACTACAGGGGCATTACTGTATATGTATGAAGTTATTCCATCACACAACGAGGCCACAACGCACCATCTTGACGATATACACAAGTTATCAGATACAATTATCATATCTACAACACGACCTATGAGCCTAGATAATCTCGGGTACATCTGATCATTCCTCGTGCAAGCAGACGTAAGAACACTACTAATTCAGCTAAAAACACAAACACCCGAAAATGACATAAATTTACACCACTGAAATGCAAAGTAAACACATTCATTTCGCAGGTATATACATCAGAGTTGATTAATGAAGTTTGGTTGTAAAGGTGTGTGTGTGTGTATGTGTGTGTAACCAAGAAATATAAACACTACAAAAATACATGAAAACCTCCAGTGAAAAAGATTCATTACAGTAAATATGAAATTAATACATCTAACTCTCAAAACACGTCGTGAATTCAGTGACAGGAATCAGTTAAGCTCCATACAACTAACCAACTGTCCAATGTGACAGATGATAAAATATACAAGAAATCCTTTAAAAAATGCGGATCACCTAAAGATTGGCAGACCCCACCTTATTTCACCTTAAGATTCAACACCTAACTGGTAATCTAGCCTAAGAATAACTTAAGGCGTTTATTATAAGGCGCTTTAAGAAGCACGGAATAGCTAACGCCTTAGCTATTTGGACACAATACGGAAAGAATTAATGAAGGAAATATATAGAAATTTTGGAAAGAAAGACGCCTAACAATAAATGCCTTTAGCCTAGCCTAATCTAACCAAACATAAAGCCCGGGCATAGCGTTAGGTGTTTAATCGTCAGATGAAATAAGCTGATGACCCGAAAATACATTATCTGTGAAATTTAATTGAATCTAATGCACAATTTACCGTGACTAAAACAACATATCTGCCTCATAAAGAATCAAACACACAAAACGTTCACTGACCCAAGAACTGACCTGCTCTTGTTGAGGTTCATCAGCCTGGGGTATATCGGCCTCCACACCATCCAGGAAGTCGATCCATCTCGCCCTCACAGCCACCACCTGCACAACGCATAATAATAATAATAATAATAATAATAATAATAATAATAATAATAATTTGGGAAAATCGTCATATAGGTTTACAACAAATATTGTGTTGTTCTCGTTAATGTCATAGAATGTGTCTGTTTACACTTTACTGCCCACACCAATCATTACCTTGTTCAGAACTCTCAATAATTTATATTAGATGTTTTTTCTGCACTACAGATGTTAACTTCCCCTTCGATTAGCGAAAACTTATATATATATATATATATATATATATATATATATATATATATATATATATATATATATATATATATATATATATATATATATATATATATATATATATATATATATATATATATATATATATATATATATATATATATATATATATATATATATATATAAAGTAAATCACTGTAGGTGTGATCTAGGTATATGCTGATAACCACAAGGAAAGAAGAAAACACGAAGTTCCCAAGCGCTTTCGTGTAATTCACATCTTCAGGGGTGAGTACAGACTAAAGAGAAGTACAAAACAAGGTGTATATATACAGAGGAGGGTGAGACCAGGTCCACAATGGTCAGGTATTAGGTAATGACCCTACTAATCTTTAAATAGCACGCAACGGTCGGTAGTCAGGTCAGAGGGTAAGGTGACCCAACCTTCTCACCTGGTTACAAATCTTCTTAATTACAAAATTGTCCAGTTTGTACATGCCATTACTCAAATTCATGTTGAATGCTTCGGTATGTTTAATGAGACTAGATTCTATGATGTTCCTACTATCAATTGAATTACAAGGTAATATTGAGGAGGCATTATCCCAGTCAATGCAATGCTTGTTATCCCTCAAATGAACAAACAGAGCATTGGATTCCTGGCCTGTCCTAACACTATATTTATGTTGTTTAAGTCTAGTTACAAGATCTTTACCTGTCTGGCCTAAGTAAAACATATTACATTCCTTGCAAGGAACTTTATAAATGCAACCAATTGTGTTGTTGGGGGAGTTCTTGATTAACATTTGTTTAACAGTGCATGAGTTTTTAAATGCCACATTGACGTTCCAGGTTTTTAGTTGTAAAGGAATGTGTGAGAAATTTTTGTGAAATGGTAATATTAAGATATTCTTATGGTCATGGGTGGGCTTGGGATCAGTTCTATAAAAAGTTTTCTTAGTAATGTTTAGGCATTTGTCTATGAAAGATCTAGGGTATTTAAGGTTTGAGCCAATATTATAGATATATTTATATTCCTCATCAATGAATTCCGGACTGCAAATTCTCAAAGCACGTAAAAACATTGTTGAAAATACTGACTGTTTGACTCTATTATGGTGGGCAGAATAATAATGAATGTATGAACACACATTAGTTGGTTTTCTATAAATACTGAACTTAAAAGTGTTACCTATTCTGTGTATCAGACAGTCTAGGAATGGCAATTTTCAGTCTTGCTCTAATTCCACAGTGAATTTGATCGAGGGGGCTAAGTTGTTAAGTTGTGGCAGGAAAGCTTTTAGGTCCTCATTACATGGCCAGAGACATAATACATCATCAACATATCTAAACCAGACTGCTGAAGGTGGTAAAATATTACTTAATAGTTTCTTTTCAAAGAATTCCATATATAGGTTATTTAATACAGGTGAGAGCGGATTACCCATTGCCATACCAAATTTTTTAGCATAATATTCTCCATTGAATTCAAATTTACAATCCTTAATACATAGTTTGATGAGTTCGATGAAGTCGTCTTTCGAGACGGGCAATGAGATATTATCCAGGGAATCTATGAGGAACTCTAGTAAATCATCAACTGGGACCTTTGTAAAGAGTGATGTTACATCAAAACTAACCAGTTTAAAGTCATAATTAATGTGTAAGTTATTGAGTTTATCAACCAATTCCATATTATTCTTGATATTAGAGTTAGAAATGTTGCCAACTAGGGGATTTAGTAAAGGAACTAACCATTTAGATAGTTTATAAGAGATTGATCCGCCTGAGCTAATGATGGGTCTTGCTGGGTTATTAGGCTTGTGGGTCTTGATTACACCGTACATGTATGGCAGTGGAGGGGACGTTCAAGTAAGATGTTTAATGGGAGTAGCTTTGCCTCTCAATAGAGACTTCAGTTAACTGAGAACACATTTATGGGGGAGTTGGGGATTAGTATCACTTTAGTGTAATTCATTCACAGGGTGAGTACAAGTGGTTATCAGCATATATATATATATATATATATATATATATATATATATATATATATATATATATATATATATATATATATATATATATATATATAAGTAAATCACTGTAGGTGCGCCAAGGCCCACCACGAAGTGAATTCCACCATAATAGAGTCAAACAGTCAGTAGTACGTGCTTTGAGAATTTGCAGTCCGGAATTCATTGATGAGGAATATAAATATATCTATAATATTGGCTCAAACCTTAAATACCCTAGATCTTTCATAGACAAATGCCTAAACATTACTAAGAAAACTTTTTATAGAACTGATCCCAAGCCCACCCATGACCATAAGAATATCTTAATATTACCATTTCACAAAAATTTCTCAAATTCCTTCACAACTAAAAACCTGGAACGTCAATGTGGCATTTAAAAACTCATGCACTGTTAAACAAATGTTAATCAAGAACTCCCCCAACAACACAATTGGTTGCATTTATAAAGTTCCTTGCAAGGAATGTAATATGTTTTACTTAGGCCAGACAGGTAAAGATCTTGTAACTAGACTTAAACAACATAAATATAGTGTTAGGACAGGCCAGGAATCCAATGCTCTGTTTGTTCATTTGAGGGATAACAAGCATTGCATTGACTGGGATAATGCCTCCTCAATATTACCTTGTAATTCAATTGATAGTAGGAACATCATAGAATCTAGTCTCATTAAACATACCGAAGCATTCAACATGAATTTGAGTAATGGCATGTACAAACTGGACAATTTTGTAATTAAGAAGATTTGTAACCAGGTGAGAAGGTTGGGTCACCTTACCCTTTGACCTGACTACCGACCGTTGCGGTGCTATTTAAAGATTAGTAGGGTCATTACCTAATACCTGACCATTGTGGACCTGGTCTCACCTTCCTCCGTATATATACACCTTGTTTTGTACTTCTCTTTAGTCTGTACTCACCCCTGAAGATGTGAATTACACGAAAGCGCTTGGGAACTTCGTGTTTTCTTCTTTCCTTGTGGTTATCAGCACATATATATATATATATATATATATATCAACTAGCATCGAACCCTCGACCTACTAGTTGATTATATGTTCAAAGTCCGCGTGTTATATGGACTAAAAATGAAGTATATATATGTACCTCGCGTTTCATACCAGCTGGATTCGGTAAAATGCTACTGACACCACATAAGAGGCACGGGCAGTTTCCCATTGAGGTTCACGGCGCCATCAGCTCGATGAACAGGCTTTGTGTGAAATATAACAGAGTCTAGAACTGCTTTTAGTGTCCTTGTGGCCTAGCCGGTAAGCGTTCCCTAGTCACACCCAGTAGGTCGAGGGTTCGATTCCTTGCTGGTGAGGTCGTTGATTATATGTTCAAAGTCCGCGTGTTATATGGACTAAAAATGAAGTATATATATGTACCTCGCGTTTCATACCAGCTGGATTCGGTAAAATGCTACTGACACCACATAAGAGGCACGGGCAGTTTCCCAATGAGGTTCACGGCGCCATCAGCTCGATGAACAGGCTTTGTGTGAAATATAACAGAGTCTAGAACTGCTTTTAGTGTCCTTGTGGCCTAGCCGGTAAGCGTTCCCTAGTCCCACCCAGTAGGTCGAGGGTTCGATTCCTTGCTGGTGAGGTCGTTGATTATGTGAGCGTTTATATGGCTAGAAGATATATATATATATATATATATATATATATATATATATGTATGAGCGTTTATGGCTAGTCAGAAGTAAAAAAATAAAAAAAATAAAAAAATATATATATATATATATATATTATTTATTTTTTTTACTTCTGACTAGCCATAAACGCTCATGCAGATGAGAATAAATGGAGAGCCTAGTACAAACCCGACTACAGTATATATGTATAATTTGATTATCTTCTGATGATAAACGTCTTAAATGAAACAGGAATTTTACAAAAGGTTATCAATTGGTCACATACTTTAAATGTCAATAAAGGTTGAATATCAGTAATATATATCACTAATACTCTTAAAATAATGACTACATTAACATCAGTGGTGTGTGGTTAAGACTTACCGAGGCGATTACCAGGAAGACCGTCGTCAGTGTTACCTTCATGGCAGCGAGACACAATGTGCCCAACCAGACCACTGACCAGCCTCCTCCTTTCTCTCTACTTTTCATAAAGATTCGTATGATGATTGTTCCTCTTAACTCAAGGTTTTGTAATGCACCAAACTGTATCCCCGAACGTTCAATTCGTACCCACCGCTCACGAGATAAGATTAACATTATTTTACTTTTATCTGCTTGGGCGGTCGGTCAAGTGTCATTTAGGCACAGTTGGCAAGTACCGGGCGTGTATCATGTAGCTACCTGCGCCAGTGTTGGTCAAGTCTTAAGGTTCCCTTACTGGTGTTCGTGAACCATTACAGATGTGGCATATTGTTGGCATAATTTTATGTATTTATTTTTTGTATTATTAAAAACCAGCATGGTACACTTTTATACATCTTGAGACAAACATTGGTCACGCTAAATATTTACAACGTTATGGATATTATCTATTATCTAATTTGGTACAAAATTAAAATATCTTGTAGAGTGATTTATGACTCAGTCGCGAAAAGAAATACCTGAATGAATTAATAAAAAAAAAGATGCTGATCCGTGACTGAGAATATATTCTTTCGGGTTACCTGTTGATTCGCCCCCTCCCTCCCAGCTTATTTCACCTTTCATATTAACCACCCTAATGCTAATTTAACCTAGCCTACTCAGGTAACGTTAGGATGGTTAGTCTTGAGGGGAAATAAACTGGGAAGGGAGAGGGGGAGGCGGAGAGGGGCATTCTTTAAATTATTCTTTCTCTCTACCACCTCCCAATTTGGCTGAGATAAGGTGATCACTTGAGTTATCTGCGAGGTGGAGCAGGTTCAACGATTCCACCCTCCCCAACAACAACCAACCAACACTAGTATGTAACACCAAGATGAAGTCCCCAGCTATTTCTCTGCCTTTCTCTAATTACTAACTCTGGTTCACCTGAAGATTAGACACCCTAGCTTATTTCATCGGAATGCGAACTCCCCCTTACACCTTTGCTTTCTAAGGGAGTGTGAGATCAGGTTAGGTTAGGGTTAACACATCTGAACATTAAAAAAAGAGGACGTTCCCGAAGACATCCTGCCCCCCCCCCCTCTCTATCCGTCCGGCACACACTTTGTCGCTATGTAACCTTGATAGTAGAGCGGATAATGGAAAAATCGTGCAAATAGTGATACAAGCATGAAATTTGGCATGATCATACCCTGGGGGCTTCTTGTCAAATCTGCCTGATTGGCCATTTGGAAATCCAAGATGGCGGCCATTTTTCAAGATAGCTGCCAAATTGACCTTCGAGAGATGATTTTTTTTTATAGAAATTGATGTAGTTGGTCAATCTAAATGATCTTTGTGTCGATATGTATGTTTTCAAACATGCTCAGATTATTTTTTCTATTTCTGATACTCTCATATATATGTATGTATATTATGTATGCTGTATGTATATTATGTATGTGCTCCATTTATACACACTATTTATTCAGCCTAGCTAGCAGCGTGTAGCAATGTATTTACCATGTTCCACATGCTTAATTAATGTGCCTGGCGACATATGGAAGCTGCTAATGTATCACTTACCACATGTCGCCCGAGAGGCTAGTTGACCCCACAGACAAAGTAAGGAGCGCCACCTCCCTTGTGTACCTTCGCTTATCCAGCAAATAGAACCTACGAAAACTCTACAGGTGTTTGTGTTCGCTCCTTTAGATAGAACTTGATACCCAGAACACATACATGGCGCAGTGAACCGATTTTACTGGACCATAACACAAATGAAGTGTAAAGTTTGTGGGAAGACCGGCTTATGGACCCCTGCTCTGTGTCAACCACCGCTAATGGCCGTCTCCTCCAAGAATTTATAGTAACTTTGAGCAGTGTCAGTGACAGTGATTCTATAATTACAGTATATCATCTTGTTAAGTCATAAGCTGAATCTAATCACTTAATTGGTCCACTACAGTAATTCAGTCACTATATCTTTGTTACTGGTCATTATTATTATTACTTTATACATAATAGGTGTCTGTGTTGTGTCAGGTGTGTGGGAAGTGTGTTGTGTCAGGTGTGTGGGAGTGGGTAACCCATGTATGGCACTCACCTGGGGGCGGGATTGGCACTATGGGTCCCACATAATTGGTGCCTGAAAGAAAAAAAAGAGTGCATTTCAAATCAATGGTATAATTCATTCAGCCAGACCACATAAAAACGCTCATTAAATATTATCAATTCGAATATTGCAAATACAATCTAGTGCTAAAAAATATTCGAACGCTAAGAAATATTCAATATACATTAAGGGAATATTTAATAAAGACAAAAAATATTCTACTGTATAGACGCTTGATTACGAGAGATAATCAACTTACCTTTCATCTCACAGATAAAAGCACTGGCCACTAGGCAAATAGCGTCCTCCCAGAGCCCCGAAGCCATGGACATCACTGCGGGACAGGTAAGTCAAAAAGACACTAATAAAAATATTCAGATAATATGTCTTGTTTTCGTGTCCTGACCTGTTTGAGCAAAAATCACGGAGTAGAATTTAAAGTGTGTGTGTGTGCTAGAGAAGGGACAAGTGTGTGAGAGTGGCGACAAGAGGTGTGTATTTTGGTTGATCAATTGGTTTATAAGTGTCTCATACCTGTTAGTGGTGAATATATTATGTGTGAGAAATATTACTACTGTAGCTATCTCAGTCCTTAAATTACTCACGCACGCACACACACACACACACACACACACACACACACACACACTTACTGATGCAGTAATTGCCGTCCTGGTAACTGTTTGGTTCACCGGGGGCGAAGTTGAAATACCCAACAGGTGTTCCGTCCAGCCAGTAATTGTCGGCCATGTTCTTCATTCCCAGCCACAGGCGGTCACCGTCCACCACCTGCCCCTTCACCCACTCTGGGACATATGAAGAGGGTCACATAAGGTCACTCTCAAACGACATGACATGAAGTCAATGTTCACGTCGTGGTTAGGTTAAGTTAATATGGACATATAAACTTAAAATTCGTTTTCCTCTGGTTAGGATAATCAAGTTTCAGGTACAGTCACCCAAAAAAGTCCTGTCGCGAACCATGAACCCCGAGATTCAGACTCTTGAATCCGAAGCATTTATGGACAGAATAATGTATCAGTGTCTACTGCTTCGGGTTCACGAGTCTGAATCTCGGGGTTCGTGGTTCGCGACAGGACTTTTTTGGGTGACTGTACGTGCCTAGATTATGTTCAACCTCTGTTTTTTTTTGAATCTGTAAATATATTATTGTACTGATGGCCAAACACAGTGACCAGCTTCTACTGTCTCTCTTGTCACAATTATAATCGCAATAAACATTTCTTCACTTTCTTATTATGAGAAATATCCGGGGTTCAGCTTCTCATAATTTAGACGTTTATATGTGTCTACAGATCTAGGAATTTAGGTGTTTTAGGAAGCTGTATCACTCAAAAATAGTTTAAACTTTGGTCAGGGGTTCAAATGGCACTGGTTCTTAAGCTCAGAGACACAATATAAACAAAGTGTTCATTCATATAAACACAAAGGTTCAGACAATATTATCTTACCAACCATGAACCTCTGATGTGACTCCTGAGGTAACACGGAGCAGCAGCTGGTGTAGTCTTACCGTATACGAAGACGTGTTCCTGGGAGGTGGAGAGAGAGATAATCTCCGGCGTGTTGTCGTTCTGGGCCAGGGAGGCACAGTAGGTGTGGGCGTCACCAACGACCACCAACTCCTTCACCAGCAGGTAACACTCACCTGTGTCAGGGTTCTCCGTCCACCCGTCCCAACATCCGCTACCTGTATACAACACCCACTCCGTCAACACACTACACACACTACCTGTATACAACACCCACTCCGTCAACACACTACCTGTACACAACACCCACTCCGTCAACACAATACACACACTACCTGTATACAACACCCACTCCGTCAACACACTACACACACTACCTGTATACAACACCCACTCCGTCAACACACTACACACACTACCTGTATACAACACCCACTCCGTCAACACACTACACACACTACCTGTATACAACACCCACTCCGTCAACACACTACCTATATACAACACCCACTCCGTCAACACGCTCACCTGCACAACAACCAACTGTCAACACACCACCTGCACACACCCAACACACACACACACCACCCCACAACACCACCCAACACACTACACACACTACCCACACAACACCACCCGTCAACACACACACACTACCTGTATACAACACCCACCCGTCAACACACTACCTGTACACAACACCACCCGTCAACACACTACCTACACAACACCCACCCGTCAACACACCACACACTACCCCACACAACACCCACCCGTCAACACACTACACACACTACCCTGCATACAACACCACCCGTCAACACACACACACACTACCTGTATACAACACACCACCCCGTCAACACACCACACACACTACCTGTATACAACACCACCCGTCAACACACACACACACCTGCATACAACACCACCCTTCAACACACCACACACCACCTGCATACAACATCCACCCCTTCAACACTACACACACCACCTGTATACAACACCCACCTGTCAACACCACACTACCCGTATACAACACCCACCCGTCAACACACCACACACCACCTGTATACAACACCCACCCGTCAACACACTACACACACTACCTGTATACAACACCCACTCCGTCAACACACCACACACACTACCCATACAACACCCACTCCGTCAACACACCACACACACTACCTGTATACACCCACCTGTCAACACACTACACACACCACCTGTATACAACACCCACTCCGTCAACACACTACCCATATACAACACCAACCGTCAACACACCACACACACTACCTGCATACAACACCCAATCCGTCAACACACCACACACACTACCTATACAACACCCACCCGTCAAACACACACACCACCTGATACAACACCACCCGTCAACACACTACACACACCACCTGTATACAACAACTAATTCAACACACCACATATACAACACCCACCCGTCAACACCACACACTACCTGTATACCACCCACCCGTCAACACACTACACACACTACCTGATACAACACCCACCGTCAACACACTACCTATATACAACACCCACTCCGTCAACACACTACAAACACTACCTGTATACAACACCCACTGTCAACACACACACACACCACCGTACAACACCCACCCGTCAACACAACACACACACTACCCCACACACCCACCCGTCAACACACCACACACACTACCTGTATACAACACCCAATCCGTCAACACACACACACACACCACCACAACACCCAATTCAACACACACACACACCTGTATACAACACCCACCCGTCAACACACACACACACTGTATACAACACCCACCCGTCAACACACACACACCACCTGTATACAACCCACCTGTCAACACACTACACACACCACCTGTATACAACACCCACTTCAACACACACACACACTACCTGCATACAACACCCACCAGTCAATACACTACACACACTACCCATACAACACCCACCCGTCAACACACCACACACTACCTGTATACAACACCACCTGTCAATACACCACACTACCTGTATACACCCACCCGTCAACACACCACCCATATACAACACCCACCCGTCAACACACACACTACCTGTATACAACACCCACCCGTCAATACACTACACACACCACACAACACCCACCGTCAACACACCACACACACTACCTGTACAACACCCACCCGTCAACACACTACACACACTACCTGTATACAACACCCACCCGTCAACACACTACCTATACAACACCCACCCGTCAACACACCACACACACCACCTGTATACAACACCCAATTCGTCAACACACTACACACCACCGTATACAACACCCACCTGTCACACACACACACACCACCTGATACAACACCACCTCAACACACACACACACACACCTGTATACAACACCCACGTCAACACACACACACCACCTGCATACAACACCCGTCAACACACACACACACTACCCCACACAACACCCACCTCGTCAACACACTCACACACACCACCTGTATACAACACCCACTCCGTCAACACACACACACACACCACCTGTATACAACACCAATCCGTCAACACACACACACACTACCTGTATACAACACCCACCCGTCAACACACACACACACACCACCTGTATACAACACCCAATCTGCCAACACACACACACACACCACCTGCATACAACACCCACCCTCAACACACCACACTACCTGTATACAACAATCCACTCCGTCAACACACACACACACACTACCTATACAACACCCACCTGTCAACACATTACACACACACTACCTGTACAACACCCACCCGTCAACACACCACACACACCTGTATACAACACCCACCAACACAAAACACACTACCACAACACCCCGTCAACACACTACACACACTACCTGTATACAACACCCACCCGTCAACACCACACACACCACCTGTATACAACACCCATCCGTCAACACAACACACAACACCTGCAAAACACCCACCAGTCAACACACCACACACACCACCCCACACAACACCACCCGTCAACACATACACACACACTACCTGTATACAACACCCACCCGTCAACACATTACACACACTACCTGTATACAACACCCATCTGTCAACACAATACACACACTACCCCACACAACACCCACCTCAACACACTACACACACCACCTGTAACAACACCCCGTCAACACACACACACACTACCTGATACAACACCCAACACAATACCTGTATACAACACCCACTTCGTCAACACACCACACACACTACCTGTATACAACACCCACCCTTCAACACACCACACACACCACCTGCATACAACATCCACTCCTTCAACACACTACACACACCACCTGTATACAACCACCCGTCAACACACCACACTACCTGATACAACACCCAATTCGTCAACACACCACACACACTACCTTATACAACACCACTAACACACACACACACACCATACAACACCCACCCGTCAACACACCACACACACCACCTGCATACACACCACCCGTCACACCACACACACTACCTGTATAAACACCCACCCGTCAACACACTACACACACCACCTGTACAACACCCACCTGTCAACACTACCCATATACAACACCCACCCGTCAACACACACACACACTACCTGTATACAACACCCACCCGTCAACACACCACACACACTACCTGTATACAACACCCACCTGTCAACACACCACACACACTACCTGTATACAACACCCAACCCGTCAACACACTACACACACTACCTGTATACAACACCCACCTGTCAACACACCTATATACAACACCCATTCGTCAACACACTACACACACTACCTGTATACAACACCCACCTCAACACACACACACACACTACCTGTATACAACACCCACTCCGTCAACACACCACCTATATACAACACCCACCCGTCAACACACTACAAACACTACCTGTATACAACACCCACCCGTCAACACACACACACACTACCTGTATACAACACCCACCTGTCAACACACACACACTACCCTACACAACACCCACCCGTCAACACACCACACACACTACCTGTATACAACACCCACCCGTCAACACACACACACACACTACTTATACAACACCCACCTGTCAACACACACACACACTACCCACACAACACCACCTGTCAACACAACACACACACTACCTGTACACACCCACCTGTCAACACACACACACACACTACCTGTATACAACACCCACTCCTCAACACACCTACCACACTACCTGTATACAACACCACCCGTCAACACACACACACACTCACCTGCAAACACCCACCTGTCAAACACCACACACTACCTGTATACAACACCCAACCCGTCAACACACTACACACACTACCTGTATACAACACCCACCTGTCAACACACTACACACACTACCTGTATACAACACCCACCCGTCAACACACTACCCCATATACAACACCCACCCGTCAACACACCACACACACCACCTGCATACAACACCCACTCCGTCAATACACTACACACACCTGTATACAACACCCACCCGTCAACACACCACACACACTACCTGTATACAACACCCAATTCGTCAATACACTACACACTCACCTGTATACAACACCCACCCGTCAACACACTACCCATATACAACACCCACCCGTCAACACACTACACACACTACCTGTATACAACAACACCACTCCGTCAACACACCACACACACTACCTGTATACAACACCCAATTCACAACACATTACACACACACACTACCTGTATACAACACCCACTCCGTCAACACACTACACACACTACCTGTATACAACACCCACTCGTCAACACATTACACACACACTACCCATACAACACCCACCTGTCAACACACACACACACCACCTCTACACAACAACACCCAATCCGTCAACACACTACACACACCACCTGTATACAACACCCACCGTCAACACATTACACACACACTACCTGTATACAACACCCATTCCATCAACACACACACACACACCACCTGTATACAACACCCACCTCGTCAACAACACATTCACACACACTACCTGTATACAACACCCAATCCGTCAACACAATACACACACACTACCTGTATACAACACCCACCCGTCAACACACTACACACACCACCTGTATACAACACCCACCTGT